AGGGACTTTTTTAAATGCAAAAAGCAGTCTTTTTGCCACAATGGAGTTCAATGGAGAAGCTGCTGAAATGCATGAAGTGCATTTTTGCTGTGTTTTCCACTTTAACAAATAAAAAAAAAAAAAGCTGGGCAAAAATTTGCATGCAAAAACACAAAAAATGGACACAAAGCACAATGCATTGGTGTGAATCAGGCCTAAGGGTCCATGCACACTGGTTAAAAAAAGCTCTTCTAGAGGAGTTGAGCATTTTACCTGTAGAAAACAACTAATGTTATCCTGTGTCCATGCACGTTAGGTCATTTAGGGGCAGAAAGAAAATCCCTTCTGTTTTGCTTTTTTGAGTGTTTTTCTGGCATAAAAAATACACTGAACACTCATAAGTGCTCCTTAACACTCCTAAACGCTAGAACAAAAAGAAAAAAAAAAAAACCCTCAAAATTAGTGGGGAGTTTTTTTTCTGCCAAGAGCACTGGTTATTTTTGTTTGTATTTTTTTTTTCAAGCCAGTGTGCATGACCCTAAACCTTTGACTAAAAGTGTTTGACCATAGGCCATAGTTGCCAACATTAAAAAAAAAAGTTTAGGGACACTTTTCTTTATTCCAGAAAGTCCAGAAAGTCAGGGTAGACGTTGCAATATGTAAATTTGGGGTGGGTCATCAATTGTGGGTGTGGCTTGGAGATAAAAAAAATATGGAAGCATTGGCTGCCAAAAAGCGGGTGTGGCTTAAATTATTCTAAATGTTGGGTGTGGCATAAAGGGGGTGTGGTTAAATAGAGTCTGAGATTTTCTTGGGCTCCCCCATACAATTTTGCTCTTCACCCCAATAGCCCAAAAAACAAATAAACACACACATAGACTTATATATAAAAAAAAAAAAAACTAAACTTTAATAATATGAACACAAGGAACTGGTCTACACTCAGTGATTGGTTGCTAGAGGTTACAGCACATTACCTTTCACTGATTGGTTGCTAGAGGTTACTGTCATTAGTACAGGGGAGGGTTAGAGACTGCAGGAGTAGTACAGGAGATGGTCAGAGACTGCAGACATAGTACAGGAGACAGTCAGAGGCTGCAGACATGGCACAAGGGATGGTCAAAGTACAGTATGCTCAACCACAAATATTACAGTATGTTCCACCATAAATATTACAGATTCTCCACCATAAATATCACAGCATGCTTCACCATAAATATCATAGCTTGCTCCACCATAAATATAACTAATGCTCCACCATAAATATCACAGCATGCTTCACCATAAATATCATAGCTTGCTCCACCATAAATATAACTGATGCTCCACCATAAATATGCTTTACCGTAAATATCACAGTATGCTCCACCATAAATATCACAGCATGCTTTACCGTAAATATCACAGTATGCTCCACCACAGCATAAAAATATCACAGCATGCTCCACCGTGAATATCACAGTACTGTAAATTCACAGCGTGCTGCACCATAAATATCACAGCATGCTCCACCGTGAATATCACAGCATGCTCCACTGTAAATTCACAGCATGCTGCACCATAAATATCACAGTATGCTCCACCATAAATATCACAGTATGCTCCACCATGAATATCACATCATGCTCCACCATAAATATCACAGTATACTCCACCATAAATATCACAGCATGGGTTACCATACTGCACCCCCCCCCACACACACACACAATTCTTTCTCACTATTTACGGCATCTGGCCGGTCCACAGCTGCCCTGAGAGTGTGTCTATGCTGTCCGCTATCTCCACTGCTTCTTCTGCCTCCTCACATGCTCCCGGAAGTGATCGACTGAAGGTGGAATGGCATGGTCACCCTCAGCTGGCCACGCCCCCTCACTAATACTGGCCAATCATGAAAAGAGGAAAGCACCACCTGACTTCCTAAAGGGGGAGTGGTCTGGATGTGTCTATGCGGTCCATGTCAACTGTCCGTGCCGGATCCAAAAATTTGGGATTCTGCCCGGGACGAGCTTCCAGCAGGACATTGGTCCAATATTTGGGACTGTCCCGGGCAATTCGTGACTGTTGGCAAGTATGCATGCACACACGGCGTCACTTTGGCCTCTCTGAAGGGCAGAATCCTGGCGAGAAAAAATCTACTTACAAAATGCGGTAAAAGCTGCGTATTGCACATGTGTTTAGGCACATATACCATTTTAAGTGGTAATGCATTCTATTGGCCAGAATGTTAATGTATTCTAGCCATTGGAATGCTTTAATGCTCAAACGCTAGACACATCTAGCATTTAGGTACACCTAGCATTTCTTCTGCTCTTCAGCTCGCCTTTGGTGTTTTGTTTAGTTTTTTTTTTCAGTCTGTAAATGCTTCTCTTTTAATACACCTGCAAACCCCTATATGTGCATGAATACATAGGCTTACATAGAGACATTTTTACAGGCTGCAAAGAAAAACTCTCCATGCCTGTAACATCAGTGTTTTTAAAGCTCTCTGTGGATGAGCCCTTGCCTTTTTATATTCTCTAAAAAAAACCTGTTGATAAATCACTTTAGCAATACCCTTCCCATGACATTTCATGTGTGCAGTTACAGTAACTTATGTTATGCATATTATTTACCATGAATATTCTCCCTTGTGTAGACATTCAAAAAAACTGCTGCTGGGAGCTACCATCTTTTAAGGTAATTTTAGCAGCCTCATAGCTGTCCCTCAGTTGACATTCTATTGTATTCTTCTTCACTCCACCCTCGGCAGCTAAAGTAATGATTATGTAGGGAGGAAATGAGTGGAGGAGCTGGACCAGCACAGACAGTAGTCATTCACTCCCAGAACAGGAGAGCGGTATGATGTGGCAAGAGTAAGGAGAAGCTGTAGCAGTGCTGAAGAATCAACTCTTCCTGAAGTGGCTGAATCATCTAGAAAGTTCAAAGGCACATTACAAGTGAACAAAAAAAAAAATTATGGAAAGGAAACCACTGGAAGTAAGCATTTACAATGCTTAATTTGTCTTTGCTTTTGCCTGCAATTTTTTTATTTTTGGTTACAGGGTCACTTCTGTCCACCCTATAGAATATTTACTGCTACAGGGTGGGCGTCTGGTGCAAAATCACATATATAAACATGATTTTGCATTTTTTCCACTTGGGGGGGGGGGGGGGGGCGTACCTGCCGCCATAGTCCCGCTTCAGCTGTGATTGGATACAGCAGAGAAGCCGATCAACAGGTGCTGGCCAGTGGATGAGTGCTGGCACCTGGTAATTGCTGAGGAGACTGACCGGGACACAGCTCTACCTATGTAAATAAGGCACAGCTGTGTTCTGTCAGCGGCGATCTGCTAGATTTTATTCAGGGGGAAAAAAATTTAGCAGATTGCTTAGTAAAAACAACATGCTGTACACATAAAAAAAACACTGGCTAGGCATATAATTAACCCTTCAGTCACCCTAGATTTTTAACCCCTTCCCAATCAGTGTCATTAGTACAGTGTCAGTGTAAATTTTTATCACAGATAACTGTATTAGTGTCACTGGTTCCTACGAAGTGCCAGTTAGTGCCAGACTGTCTCCCGCAATATCGCCGCTGTGTGTGTGTGTGTGTGTGTGTATGTGTGTGTGTGTGTGTGTGTGTGTATGTATATATGTGTGTGTGTGTGTATGTATATATATGTGTGTGTGTGTGTGTGTATATATATATGTATGTGTGTATATATATATATATATATATATATTCAGTATATATACTGCAGTTTGTAAATGCTATAACATTTTGTGCAAACCAAATCAATATACGCTTATTGGGCTTTTTTTTACCAAAAATATGTAGCAGAATACAATTTGGCCTAAATTTATGAAGACATTTGATTTTTTACATTTTTTTATTGGATATGTTTTGTAGCAGAAAGGGAAAAAATATATTTAAAAAAAAAAAAGGTCGGTGTTTTTCTCATTTATAGCATAAAAAATAAAAACCCAGAGGTGATAAAATACCACTAAAAGAAAGCTCTATTTGTTGGGAAAAAAATAGCATTTTATTTTATGTACAATGTTGCATGACCGTGCAATTGTCAGTTAAAGTAACGCAGCGCCATATGAAAAAATTGTCTGGTCATGAAGTAAATCTCCCAGAGGTCAAGTGGTTAAATTAACTGCTTGAGAGGACAGAAATATGGATGCTCCAAGGCTGACACCTTGAGCCTTTCTTCAATGCCTAGTAGAACATTGACCTGAAATGAGCATGCGGCCAGTAAATTCTGAATCCCAGCCATATTTAAGTATCATGACTCACAATGTAGTGAAGTCAGGATCAGTATGACAGACTCAGAGCCTGCACCTTTTGGGGTTTGTCCAAACGCACTGCAGTGACTGGCATTTTTCTGCTCTTGATCTACCCATTCATACAATAACCGTGTCGTGGGATGTGGTGCGGGATGTGGCGCAGTGCAGTAAAATGCAGACATGCTGTATGTTACCATAGTACGCTGGGTTATGTCACATGTCACCACAGTACAGCACACCATGCTCCTCTGCAAAGACATGAATGAAGTGTCACTAAAAAAAAGTTTTAAAAAGTAGCACCATAAAACACTGTAAACGAGCCCATGAAAATGAGTTGGTAATGGCAGCTCCCATGTTGTGTTCTAAAACCCATAGCTCAAATTGTATTTCCAACTTCAGGAACTTACTAGGCTCCTATAGTATGTTGTTTCTATGTTTTTGGTATTTTCTGCTTTTTCACTATGCAACTATGCATTCGCAGACATCAGCAGCAGCTTAGACCCCATCACAGAAGGTTTTCATGATCAGTAGTGGAAAGGAGAGCTTTCAATCATCCTGTCAATGTTATTATATTTGAGGGAACCCTGATTGGCTGTGTATTTTAGCGTGTCATTTAGGGTCCTTGTTCACTAGTATAGGTTGTAAATATAAGATATGCATTCTAGACTTTATTCATCCTAGGTATCCTCACCATGCCCTGGATAATCTTCTTGAAATCTAAGACCATCATTAAGTGTTACTAAACCCAGGACCCTGCATTCACTATATCTGGTCTCCCACAGTACACACAACATGGAAATGCAATTATGTTAGTAAATAGAAACTGCTATGTCCAGCCGAGCACATGTTAAAGCTTGTAGGAGGAGTTTTCATTTTTCTCTGGGAGGATGCAGAACCCCTGACCTTCTGGACAGTGCTGATTGGCCCTGTGCTGATCACATGCACTCTCCCAAAAAAAAAAAACAACCTCTCTAGCAATACACACCAAACAGCATGTACAGAGTGGCTCCACACGATATGTCTTATCAAGAGATAAGAAGGGGACACTGGAAGAAGGGGAGGATTAGAGAAGCCAGATCAAACAGCTTTTTTACACAGTGCAGAGGATTAACCCCTTTGGTTCCACAATGAGTATAACAAGCATGCTTTACTGCATATACAGACTGATTTTACTGTTGTGGGTTTAGTAACAGTTTAAAACTGAACTCCGGAAAAAGTAAAAATCTTCTAATGCAATGGGGCTGCCCCTGCACTGCAAGGATTAAATGCTTGTTTACAGTTAGGGGGACGGGAAAGCACTTTTACTTACCCGATCCTCTGCTCCCTTGAGCAAATCTGCGCTAGAAGACTGATCCCTGCAGCATCTTCTCGTCCATGCTCTGGTGGTCCATTGCCACTGACGTCATCAAGACAGATGCAGGGCCCATATCTCTGCACTGGATGTGAGGATGCTGAATAATGGTCCACTGTCAGAGCATAGGGGAGAGCCATCTGTCATGGAGCAGAGGATCTGGTAAGTATAACAGTTTTTCCCATAATTTACACCTAAACAAGCATTTAACCCTTGCAGTGAAGGGGGTGGGGGGAGGGGGGGCATAGCCTAGCTGCTTTTTTTTTTTTTTTTCCTGGGTTTTAAGCTTGGCAAATTGATTTCAGGAGGAGGCCCAGAATACTGGTTTTCACATTTCTACAAGCTGTGTCAGTTTCATAGGTAGATTTTTCTCTTTTCAAGAAATGCTGCTAATGAAGCTGCTATAGTAATTTTGTGTAATGAGCATCAAGTGGCATTGTAGAATTGACAAGCAGTTTTTAAGATCATTTAGGAAATTAGAGAGATTCACTAATTAGCCTTATCATATCTGGAGAACAAATAGATTACGGTGAGGCAAGCAAGAGTGACAGAAGTTCTGGTAGGAAGAGGGTAGGGTAGATTAATGTCAGATGATCTTGTTCACAAATTGACCTTGAATGATCCGTTGGGAAATAATGGTTGACAATGTCCTACATAGTTTTTGACATAATTGAGGGGCTTTGTAAAAAGTAGCCTTTTTTGTATGCTGAATACCTGTCCATTCCTTTAAGTGGACCAGTGTCCAGTCTATGGGCATGTCAATTTTTTACTCATTTACTCAATGTAGAGCTACAACCTCTCATTTAAAAAATGTGTTGTACCACTTATAGTAGAATTCACTGTCAGGCTCACCAGGTATTTGTGGGACTTTGCAGGGAAAATTGTAAATGCAGTTACACTTGTAAGTTTAAAGTAGAATTCCAGTCTAAACCTGGAGCGATAACGTTACCCTTGGGCTCCCATGTCTCAACTCCTAGTTGGCAGTCCCTCCTCTCCCCTGCAGTGGCCGATGGCTGGCACAATGGAGCCAGATCATATGACCGGACCAGAGCGGGCTGAAAATAGGTAAGTATTTGAATCTTTTTTACACAGGTTAGTTAACATAGGTATGAGGAGGAGGGAGGGGACATTTTTAAGATTAGTTAGTTTTAGGCTGAAATTCTACTTTAATCATAAATGTACCTACGCTCACAGATTTCCCTGCAAAGCTCCACAAATACCTGGTGATCCTACCAGTGAAGTCCACCTAATGCACCCACTGTGGAAGGATGTTTTTTCTTTTTTTCCTTGCTGTTGGGCTTTAAAAAATTAAAAAAAACCTCACTGGCCTCCATGGGGTTATTCATCCTCAAATTTAACAGCGGAAGTACTAAATTCATTCAAATGGTTCTCTCAGCAGCTCAGCTCATCTCTTTACCACTCTTTCCAGCTCTACATTCTTATTAGAGATAAGAAGGCTGGAGGCTGCTGAGCTTGCTGGGAAAGAGGAGGAGGGGAGCTGAGCTACTGAGAGAACCACTTGAGGATAGGCCCTATTAATTCATGTGGGTGAGCCATATTCCGGTCATTCTGCAGAATGTGGCTTACCCATAGGAAAAGGGGGCCACGGTCCAAGTAGACACCAAGAAGAGGAGCCAGCAGTGCCATTTTTTAAAGAAGGCTGTATAGTGCCAGGCAGGGCTGCACGGTAATGTCTACTGGAATGGGGAGAAAGGTTAGTAATTATTACGGCAGTCTCCACTCAGGGAATGGAGGGATTTAATAAAGGAAAAGTTTATTGTAAACTTTCTCTTTAAGACCAACAACCAGCAAAGAGCAAGCACAAGTGCCTGGTAGCACTAGGGTTTGTTGGTTCAAATCCCAACCACGGCACCACCTGCCTGATGTTTGCATGTTCTCCCTTTGCCTGCGTAGGTTTCTTCCGGATATTCTGGTTTCCTCCCACCTCCAAAGACACGCTGGTAAGTTGATTGGCTCTGGTCTAATTTGGCCCTAGTGTGTGTATGTATGAATGTGAGTTAGGGACTTAGATTGTAAGCTGCTTGAGGGCAGGGACTGATGTGAATGTACATGTATATATGTAAAGTGCTTTGTAAAGTGACGGCGCTTTATAAGTGCTTGCAATAAATAAATATTAGCCAAACCTCTAAATACGCCATTCAATCGCATACTGGACACAGGAGCAGTCAATGACTTGTGAGTACTGTACATAAGCTAACAACCCCCCTAAGTGTGCCATTTGGTTTTATAGCTTCATAAATAGCCTATGATGATAAGGAACATTTCATACAGATGTAAGGTTGACCTGAAAAAAGTAGGTGGGATCTGAAAGAACCATACATAAGTACAGTTGACAAAATGAGGAACAAAATGAGGCACAACTAAGAGACCTCATACGCACTTCAGCTAAAAAATGCCTGACATTTGACTTTTTTTTTCTGCCTCTAAATGCCCCTTTATGCTAGCATGCCCTGTTTACATGAATTTAGAGGCAGAAGCTTTAAAAGCAGAAACAAAAACATCAATTGTACATTATGGCTGAAAAAAAAAAACGGTTAAAAGCGCCTAATTGTGTGTAAATGCACCTAAGCGTTTGGCACTGTTTATCTCTTGAGCATTTATTCATTTCAGTGTCCAGAGTAAATGCTACAAAACTAAATGTCCCTAAACTTGTTTGCAATAACACAGCTTGGGCACGTTTTTGAAGTTGCTTATCTCCAGCCAAGAGAAGAGTTTAGAAGAGCCCCAGTGTGCATGGGGCCATATAGATGGAAAATGATAATGTGGAATTTTTACCAAATAAAAAAGCAACAATTTTAAGCAAACTGTTTTACCTGCTAAAGATGACAAAAGGGGAAATTATTCACAAGAATCACTGGCAGCCTTGGAAGATGGCCCAAATAGAAGTGCATCCATGGGGATGGGTATAGACGCGGCTAGTGCACAGAAGATTATCCTTGTAGGACCTACACATTGCTGAGCATTGGAGATGAGCATATATCTGAGGGGGGGGTTAGCCTGATGGGGGGGATGAAGCAAACAACATAAGTGCACTTTGTTTGAAAGTGCACTTATCCTTTAACAACAAGCTGTCCCAGTGCAGTTCTTGTTTATGTCCTTGCAGAGTCAATGATGAACATACGTTTCCAGCAGAAGCTGCTCTGCTGAAGTTTGCACACTCTTGGCCAGAGGTCAGTTCTTCTCACGGACACATTTCAGCACTAGCGAGCCCCTTATGCCAAGAAGCTGCCAGCGTGCCAGCTTGTTCTAATTTCTCTTGCCGCATTTTTCCCACTGAATAATGGTATTTTTAATGCATACACAAGAAATGAACATAATTGATCATCTTGCAGGTTAGCCAGTGATAATGTATTTCAGGATACATGCAAACTAGAAGGAGAAGAGGACTGGTAATTTTGGTGTGTTAACTCCAGCATTCAGGCTGAAAATGAGAAATGAGCCAGAGACTGAGAGCAGTGGCAGCTGCAGGTTGCACATGATCTGGATTTTAATGTGCTGTCATTATTCTGTACGTCCCAGTTCTAGTGTTTTCCGCTAGGCAGATCCAGGCAGGAGCATGACTAGTTTTGTAATCACATTTTATTTTCTCCCCATAGTGTCAATACATACCCAGTGACTGATTAAAATAAGAACAGAACAGGCTTCTGCCTGGGGCTCCAGACTCCAGGGGAGCCCACAGGGGTGCTAACAGTGTTTGACACTTCAGTGCATTTCATTCAATTTCAGAGTTGCAAGCCTTCTATTTTTCTCACAATGTGATCAGTAATGGCAGCTTATGTATTGCTCACAGTGAAGGTTTCCTTTAAGATAAAATGGTAATACACAATAATATGGGTACTTCCTATCCCTGGAAGTATTGTTTTCATATTATGTGCTACTGGTATTTGAGGGAAAATGAATAATAATGTGAGCGTTTTTTTTCTTTTTTTCAAAATTGCGATTGCAAATGTGATCAGTGAACTACAGGGACATTGCACAGGCTCCTGCAGACTATTCCTTCTGCCCCAGGTCCGTATCTTCAGTTATGGAGCTGGATGAAGTATCAATGGATTATGAGTGTGGTAACATCATTACACTTGTGCTCCATTAAGAGCTGATTCACACATGTGCGGTGCGGATTGAAGTTTAGGTTTCACAACGAATTGATACAGTAGTTGTTCACCGGTTCATGTCAGGTTTATATCGGGTTCAGGACAGGATTAGCTCAGGATCTTAGCTTGTTAACAAATGTGCAGTTTGAAAAGGATCCCATAGAAATCAATAGCCTGTAATCCGCACCTGAACCGGAGCGCACTGCTCAGAAATTGTACTTGACTCTTTTTTTTTTTCTTCAAACCGCACTGAATCCCCACTGCCAGTGCACAGGACACATGTGTACTGGCACCATAGGAAGCAATGTTTCTTCACAT